AACCTTTTCTTGTCAGCCGTACATATAATGAATTTTGTCGATTGGTATGCGTGATGATTGGTAAAGACGGAGTCATTGTTGAATGAGGTGAAAATCGAGTTGCATTTTATGCTTGACAATAAAAGAAAAAAAAATACATAAGAGCTCGCAAGACGAATCAATTTGATTCTACTTTGTTTCCTTGTTATTTAAATGGGTAATGAGTATTGGGAAACCACTTTAGGACACTTGGATGACCTCAGATGTTTAAACCTAAGGAATGTTGTCCTTACTATTCGAGCTTGTTCGGAAATAGTAACTCTCTAAATAAAAATAAATAAATGTGTACTAAGTCAAGCAATATTGGAGCATTTATGTGTTGTTTGTGGAGACATTGGTGGACGGTATGTATGCTATCTTGTTAATTTTGGTCGAGTGGCAGACATTCGAGTATTCTATTACTCGAGAATTTTGATTGTTTATTTGAGCTTCTTGTCCATATATATATCCTTACCTTTACCTACATCCCACATTACAACCCGAGAAGTCCTCTTGATTCGAAATTTTTGAGCTTTGATTGATTCCGAGTAATTTAGACGATTGGAAAGCATATGTTGCAACGTGAATATCGACAAATTTTGAGTGAACCCATCACATATTCATATAAGAAAATGAGTGAGGTATATATAATGATCTATGTGTTGAGAGTTTGTCATTTTAAGGCCAAGTTGATATTTGAGGCATATGGTCGTACGGTCGTTGGAATTCGATCTGATTGAGTTAGACATTTTCAGGCTCTTCTTATTTGAATCTGTATCCATGCTCGTGTCTTGTTTTCTTTTCTCTTTGTTCGGGACGAACAAAGGTTTAAGTGTGGGGGAGTTGTTGTAACCATTTTTGTTACGTTTTTCGTTACCGTTTTGTCATTCTTTTTCCCCCGTTTTAGGTCTTTTAGTTGGTTTTTAGTTCGTTTTATAGTTTATTGTGTGTTTTGCTCTATTTTGGCTTTTTATGTGTTTTTTGTATATTTTGTCGGTTTTCTACGTTTTTCTTCTTGTTTTTGGTGTGCAGGTCAGAAGCCCGTGAGGAATATATTTGGCTCAAAAATGGGCCGGGAAACTGTGAGGAATAGATTTAGCTCAAAAATGGGCCGGGAATATATAGGAAAAAGCGGAACTCGATTTCGAGTTCGTACAAGTCCGGACGGGCGAGATATGCGAAGTCGTGCACGGAAGCCGCCACCTTCAAGTAAAAAGCTTTGGGAGAACATGTTTTTATGAATAATTTAGCCATGCAAGAATCATTGAATAGAGGGGTTCGTTAGCGACGCGTAGAAAAAAACGGAACTCAATTTTGAGTTCGGACGAGCCCAAAACGCAAAGTCGCGTAGCCCAGTCTTTCTTAGCGGCGCTAATCAATCTTAACTGGGGCAGAGACTTACCACTAAACAGCCTTAGCGGCGCTAAGTTGTGTTTTTCTTGAAAAAATGCATTTTCTCGAGCTTTTCAAGGGAGGTGGGCCTTAGAATCAATGGGGAACATGCTTTGAGCCATTTTTTCTCCATGTTTTGAGCCTCTTTCCATGATTTCATCCATGATCTCCTCCGTGTTTGTTCCATGTTTTGAGCCACTCTCTGTTAGAGTAGGGTACCCGGCGTTCCAATCTAATTGGACGTATTCTACTTGTAAATACAGTCTATTGGAATTATATTATGAATAAGGCATTTCTTTATCTTAAGAGAAAGCATTTATCTTATAATTGCACTTAAGATAAAATCCCTAGATCACTTATGGTTATAAGGTATGGTTGCGCATAGAGATGGTGATCATGGAACATACCTTGAAAGCCGTGATCTTAAATACAATTCCAAGTCGAAGGATGTTTCGAGATGGGATATCGAATAATCCATAAAAGACTTGCACATAGTTTGTATGCTTGTTGGACAAGAATGTTGCATTCCATCAACATTAGCGTAAGACGTAAGTACATTTATGTGGGTGCTTGTTAGAGAACAAGTTCACTGAACATGACCGTATGAAAA